TTCTTTGATGGCCTCAGCAATGTTCCCTCCAAACAGAAATTTATTAATTGGCATTTTTATCGCCAGGTTTTGGTAGTGGGGTGCGATTTTGTATTTTACAAAATGTCGCCTACTCTCGGATACCTCTAAGAAAGCATTTCCAAAGAGAGCCGTTGCCGTCCTTAGATTACGGCTAACAGAAGAGAGTAATGCCTGACCGTTGTAGGGCTTGGCGAGGAAGAATTTATGGAAGCCTTTGCTTGCAGTATAGCAGTCATGCCTTTACAGATTTTGTTTTGGCTTCCTTGCAAGGCCAAATCTCCTTTATGTTGATCTTTATTTAAAGCCTACCAAATCGACTCGTTCATTTGAGGAACGATCATAAAGTCGCAATTTTTTCGGTCAAAGAAGGCGTTCGAATAGGCAGTGCTAAGTTCTTCCTTCTTGATCTTGCGTGTGCAAGAGATTTTTGCGAACGATTTCAAATCGTCAGAAAGAGGATCAGAGGTCAAGTCGTCATCCTCAAACTTGATTTGTGGCAGCCCCATATAATTAGCTGGGATCAGGATGGAAAACAGCGTTGATGTCACACGCTGCAGAAGGTTTTCGTAAGAGGGAAAAAGCTTGAATCTCCTAAAGATTCACATGAATACTGACTTTGGTGGTCAGAACCAGAAAGATCCATTTAATTGCAGGCCAAATTTGAATCTCTGGAATCATGAGGAGGATCCAGCGCAATGTGTTGAGAATCCGGCTGAGGGAAATTAAATCGGGAAACAGTGTTGGAGGGAACTGAAATTACTGGTGGTTCCTGGCATGACTGAAAATCAGACTCTATAGAGGACCTCACGTGGTGGCGAAACAATGTTTCCAGGAATAACGGTTGGCAAATTTCTGAAATCATTGGGATTACTAACTGGCAAAAAGAAATTTTTATTGATGCCAGTCAACGAGGTTGGGGCGAAGTTTTGAGTTCTTATGGAAAGCCCATCCAAGAAACAGGAGGCCGATGGGCTCTATCTGAAAAATCCTACCATATCAACCTTCTTGAGTTGAAAGGGATTCAGTTTGCATTACAATCCTTCAAGCAATCACTAACTAAATAAGAATATTAAAGTAAATTGTGATAATTCTACTGCAATTGCATGACTGAAAAGCAGACTGAGCTGCAGAATTTTCAACACGAGCTGAAAATGATACCGCTGGAGCGGCAGAGTCAAAATATCTTTTGCGGCAGACTGAGCTACAAGAGATGTATACTGAGCTGCAGAAGTGCCAGTGTCTAAGCGGATTTGTTTAGACTCAATGTCAGCTATGGCCTTTAACGTTTGCGTTACCTTAGAAAGTTCGGTAGCCATAGAATTAAACTTTGACTGTAGGTCGGAGAATTCCCCACGAGAAACAGCCTTCCTCTTACCACTCCTAGCGGGCTTCTTTTCTTCATTCAGAAGGTCGCATTTCGGCTGCGGCGTTGCAGGAACATCAACACAGAAAAGCTCGTCTTCCTCCTGGTCCATCATAGTCCTTAACGCAGTGGAATCTCAAGCCGCTCAAAAAATACTGAGGTTGCATATGGGCGTTGGCGGTATTTATACGTGGTGTTGTAAAAGATCTTTTGTTTTTCTTTGAATCAGCGAATAGAGACAGCCAATCAGGAGCAATCTCCAATTAGAATGAATTAATCTGTGCTAGCATAGTGAGCCTCGATGCGAAGAGGAGGCTAGAGAGAACCGGTAAGTGCCTGCCAACAGTGGCGAGAGGCAACAGTGTTATCCACAACACGGCATACAAATTAATCACGAATAATCAATCCATTTAGCAGAGCAAGACATGACTGATATGTGTTAAAAGGTATCGATGGATTTATGCTTTGCTGTAATAATTCATATATCAATTAAATTTTTCTCGTTTCATTGTAAGAAAGTAAGCTCAATAAATCCTTCAAGACAGCTAAGATATGTCTAGAAAGCTACAGACTTCTCAAAGTTTAGGCGGCGTACAGCTAGTCGCCATATGCATCATTGCTGATAGAAATTTTTTGACCTCAGTTAAACATAAACCAATTTTGAGACCTCTTCAAATGGAAAGGCAATTATCACGAAAATGAGAAATGCTGATCATTTTATGCGACCTGAATAAGAATAGTACAGCTTCTTTCTATTCTGTGACAAAAAAGATTACAGAAATAAGAAAGGATTAGGTTCTCATTTTGACTTTAAAATATGGTTAAATCGATTAGAATCTAGTGAAAAAAAGAAATGTGGCTTTTATATAATCTACGCAGTTATATTAAAGATCATTTGATTATCAAAAACAAAAATTTCAATTCTAGCAAGAGTAAGTGCCATCTTTCAATATTGAATGGGCATTTCTCCAAGTATTTAATCACATTTAGATTATCTTAATTTTTCTGGTCATAGAAAGAAACCTTTTATGAACAGGTTTGATCGTTATAAAGCGCTATGTAACGTTTGTTTGAGTTCGGTTCCTTTCATTGAAACGAATTTCATTGTAAAACGATAATGATTTTTAAAACGTAGATGAGGGATTTTTCTGGCTGAAGATATTTCAAGCTTTCAATCTGTAATGAGAATAGGTCCAATCGACTACTCTACGATGGGCCTGTTAAGCCCAGACCAAACGACTCGATTTTTCACTCGATTTTTTACTCAACAAGAAATCGAGTGAAATATCGAGTCGTTTGGCCACCTTGTCGAGCAAGTCGAATGGCTACGAGTGATGTCGAGTGAAGTTTGATCTCTATCAAAAAAGTCGAGTGAAAAAGGTGTTGTCGAATGAAAAGCGAATCGTTTGGCCACCTTGTCGAGTGAATCGAGTGAGCGCGTGCGCAGTTTTTATCTCTTATGCTGGGCAGGGTAGCATACTACCCTGGGGCCTCGAGGTCCAGGGGACCTTTTTAAGTGATGAATTCCATTTCAAGAATGGAAATAATCAAAAAAAACAAAATTTTGCCTGAAAATAGTAATTTGCTTAAATAAAATAAGTATTTAATGGCGGTTCCTGCATGAATCGAACGAAGAGGGTCTTATGTCGCTCTAGTTCGTCAAGAGATTGTAAAAGGATATTTGCACGTAAGATAAACACGGCAGCCGATTTGCTTTTCATTGCCTTCATTTTGTTGGTGTGAGTGAAAAGTCGAGTGAAAAATCGAGCGAAAGATCGAATCATTTGGCCAAGGCTTTAAAGCGTGTAGTAAAAGATTATATAGAAAATGGACCCTGTCACCTTGAAATGAACATGCAGAAGATTCTAATTGGCTGATTCTCATTGACAGGACTCTCATTGACATTGATTCTCATTTATAATTATTCTAGTGTTTTGTTATTTCAAAATGTTTGCGATTAATCTGTTGTTTTTGAATATAAAGTTCTGTTGCGTTTATAATGTGAAAGTATATGATATTGTAACAAGAAGTTCGCAAGTATTAATTTTTTGTTATATGTCACTAATTTGTCTGACACTCATTTTCGGAAAACTCTAGGCCATGGAATATATATACACAGTTGTGGATCAAAAGAGGCTAATCAAAAAGCGAGCACATCAGTGCCGCTTGCTATTTGAAAATATCACCAATGGGCAATGGAGTCCAAGGGTCAAAATGAACTTCTTCTATTCACACATTAGCCATTTGATTTTTATGATTTTTAAAACTGCTAGGCGGAACGACGATCGGGCTCTATCAATAATCCGAAACATGTCGCTGTTAAAGTTTTTGGTACAATCCTGGTTGTGTATAAAATATTATCCTCACAACTTTCAATTTAAGTTTTAGAAATGTTGCGCTCTCAGCCCAAACGCTTGCAATCTCTTCCTTAATGTAAATTGAAATAACATCTTCTGGATAGTGGCAATTCAAAAAGACCTATTTTAGTTGATCGAGTTCCCAGCAAGCTTTGACTTGGGATAAATCATTAGTGCCCCTTGTTATAATACTTTGCTGTGATTGATTTTCCTTTGCTTTGAGCAAAAGGAAATCCATCGAGGGGATAACCCTTTGTGATACACACTGGTCAGAAATACAGTGCCAAGCTTTTCAACAATAACATCTAAAAAAGGCAAAGATTTTTTTCTTCCTTTTCAAAAGTAAAATGAAGGGCTAGGTGCAGGCTATTTAGGCACTTTAGAAAGATATCACACTCAGCCTCTGTCTAGAAAATAGTAAATATGTCATCCACCTATCGAAAATAGAGACCTGGCTTTTGGTCGCTGTCGAACAAATGATCTTCATGAAAGTTAACATGCATACAGACAGCGTTGATTTTGTAATATACATATTTTCATTCTATTAATGCAGTCTTATGCTTTATTATGTTGACCACTAGTGTTGTCGCATACAGGGCCACCAAGAGGTTTCAGCGGCCATGTGGCAGACAAGAGTGAAGCCCTGCCCCCCCCCCCCTCTCGGTGTCCCTGGTCGTAAGTATTTTGCAGTAAGGATTCGTAAGTTACCAAAAATGCAATAGCTTTCTGAAACGATTAAGTATTACAAAAATGAATTAATAACAGTTACATTAATCTCTGACAAGGTTTAAATGCATAAACTTTTAATCATCGGTGATTCATTAAAAAAAGGGTTTTCATGTCCGGAATTTTCAAGGGTAAGTATCGAAATTTAAGCAAGCGAGGATCTCTGTTTGTACGTGTAGAACTCAATAGGACGATTTTACCATTGAATAAAGCATTGTAACAGCCAACCGTTAGTTGGCACACTATGAAAATAAGAAACTAAATGCGAAAATAAGAAACTAACTGGTGTTGCGAATTTCATATCTCAATATCAAAACAAAAGCCAACGGAATAATGTCATACTTACAATATCAGATTTGCAATCAGAATGACCAGAGTTTGTCAACAGGCATATCACCACAAACAGGCCTAATCTTTTGAGCATGTGGATGCAGCCATTTTGATTTGATTTTTCACAAAGCATGCTGGGGTATCTTTCTCCTTCCTAGCTTCCTCGGACCGCGATAAGAGCAAAGAAATTAAAAAAAAATCAGACAAGCCCTGATGTCAATTGCCACGAAATATCATCAAGTGATATTATAAAGAAAAACTGTAATTTGCAATTTAGTAAGTGTGCTTGTGTATATCAGTGCATCACTTGGTTAATCAAAAAGATCATAGCTTTTCAAGCATGGATTTAGCTAATGAAATATATTAAAAGGCCATATCTTATGTTGATTACATGAAAGATAATACATAGAAACGACAGCTGTTTTATGTTATGCATGAGAAATTAACCTTGTACTATGTTTACTGACACTACTCTTTTTAATTGCATTCCCAATGCTAACTACGGTTTTTGGGTTATTTTGATTACCATAGCAACAAACGATTCATTGTAACTTATGGGTGTATTCATTCTAAATGTAATAAGTTGTTAGCTGAGTCGAGGGCAGTCGCGATTACTAGCGAAGAGACGTTTGATTTTTGATTCGATAGCTGAAATTTGGTATCTGTACAGCGGATGGGATACAGGTTTGTTTAACAAAAATATACAATACAGATGAAAAACGAAAGAAAATTTAAATTTTCTGGTCTATGACTTCTTCAAATGCATGTTTCCATCACTTGTACCCAATTTATGAAGTCGGAACACCTTCACGAGATCAGTTCGTTTTTGGCTCCTAATGTTCGGTGTCCAATACGCTACCCAGACCATTTACCACAAGTCATTCTTGTAATTAATTCAACAATCTGACTGGTATCTAGTAAATCTTTGTATTATCGACAAATTGAGTGAAGACACATAAACATCCAAACAAATGAGATGAACGCTTTTAATGTGGTGTAGATTTTTGTGAATGCGTGCAGATTTTTGTCAAAATAAAGGAAACAGCGGAGTTTTTGATTCAATTGATTTTTGCAACGTAAAAACATAAAACACAAATACAGGTGGCTTCAACCACAGGTTGCTGTTAATCACAAAGGATCTCTTTAAAGAAAAGAAGGAATTGCGAAAAAAATCGAACAAAATTTTTAAAATACGCTGGATTGATTGGATAAAGCCCAAAAGAAGGATGGAAAATTCTCCAGAGCCAACTCCACATTGGGGCGATTCAGTGAGACGATGGGGTGCGTTATGGGACATACATATAAACGTAATTGGAGCTTTATTCATTGCGATCGCCTTCTGGAATGCCATCTCTTTACTTTTGCATGTTTTGGAGAGGAAGGCAACATCTAGACGAATCTTTAAATGCTACTCAACTATCAACTTTCTGCTGTTGTTCTTTAATTTCATCAGAGGCTTGAGCTTACTGGTAAATCCATACAACTCAAATGTACACCATTTGAAGCTATCACAAGGAATTTCGTTTCTTTTTTGGGGTATGACAGTGCCATGTTTTACTGCTTCTTTCATGCTTATGAACATGGCTCTACTTGATGCAACGAAGATGCAACTCTACTCAAAAAAGCTACAAAACATGAAACTAATCCTTTGCATTGTTTCGTTTAATTTTGTTCTGGTAATAAGTGTTGACGTCACATCAATACTAAGACCAAGTCTTTATTTCATACTGTACGTTTGTCAGGTGTTCTTCATGCTGTTTGGGGTAGCAGTGGCGGGGACAATGATCTTTACGGGGTACAGTGTATTGAACAAGGTTAGAGAAAGCGAAAGGCAACTTCGCTCATTTAACAATAATGTGATTGTGAACAAGACAGCTGAATTGGGCCATGATATCAACTTGCAAAGCCCGAGCACTTCTGGTAACATAAGACAGGACAAAGATGCAAAGATTGATGTTCCAGGGAGACAAGCCTTAACAAAAATCAGTGCGGAGCCAATGCCAAAACAGAAATCTTCAAATGAGACATCTTGGAAATCAAAGAAATTTAGACGCTCAACGAAAAGATTTACAATGATAAGCATAATCATTTCAGTAGCAGCTATCTTGTACAGCCTCATCCAGATATATTCCTTCATAGCAATTTACGATTTCAACGACCCGAGCAAACCAATAAATCCATGGCATTGGATTGCATACCAGACAACTGCACGTCTTCTCGAGGTAACTATGAGCATCTGTGTGTCTTTTGTCGTCCGTTCAAAACGTAACATATTGCCATGCCACAACCCGCACCAAACATAGCCAGAATACCCCACGTACAAAGACTTATCAGAAAATAAACAAAAAATGTACAGTGTTCATTTCCAGAAGCCATGGCAACCGCAGTTGCTACGAATCTTGAAATAGCCTTTCCAAAGACACTGCAAAGGGACACCAGAAAGCTTAACCAAAGCTTGCATAGCACGATAAGCAGAGCAAAGTTAGTATTGTTTACTAAAGGGAGGTTCCTTCTACTTCCATTATTGACCTCTGTCCACTTCCTTTTTTCTTAATTAAGCTCTGCACAAGCAGGCACAAGAATTAAAGACGACATATCGTGGACAGATTTTGTAGAATTCCTGACATGATTATTCGTGTAATTGCGATAATTGTTGAAAATAAAGGTGATTAAATAAAAATGACAAACACAAACTAGTGAAAGATGTGATAAAATAAATTAAAAAATAAAAACAAGAAAAATTATTATTATCTTCCATGAAAATTAAGACCAAGTTAAAGTTGCTGCTATAATTGTGAGAAATTGTTGATGTACATATAAGAATTTATGAAATATAAAGAAGAGCTTTTTTAACGTGTTACTCGCTGGTACACAATTCACAATGACTTTGATTAGCAAAGATCAACCTTGTTCATACTTGCATGGAGGAACACCCCTATTGCTTGTTTAGTAAAAGTTTAAATCAAATATCTGATGACAGGAATTTCTTATTCTGCCTTTTATCAACTATATTACTGCAATATGTGGACGATGATAAAAAGAAACTGACAAGACAAATCAATTCGAAGACAAAGCAGTGTTTAATCAGAACAAATTATGATTGTGGCTAGGCCATGCTATTCTAGTTAAAGAACGTTTGGAGACGAGCAACACGCATCTTTATCTAGGCGAAATTTAAGCCCCGGCCAAACGACTCAACAAAGTTGAGTCAACAAAGTTGAGTTACATGTTGAGTTAAAGGTTGAGTCGTTTGGCCACCTTGTTGAGCGTTGTTGAGCGATGTTGAGCGTTGTTGAGTGAAGTTTGATCTTGGTCAAAAATGTTGAGTGAATTTCTATTGTTCTGATCTGAGGTGTTGTTGAGCGATGTTGAGTCGTTTGGCCAGGCACTTAACAAAGTTTAACGCGCGCACGCGCAGAAATTCTGTTTTAAACCTTGGCGCCAAACGCACTGACACTAAGTTTCTGCGTATGCGAAGAATGGATGCTGATGAGAAAAGAAAGCGACGTTGTGACGATGAGATAGATCGGATCACAGTCACTGATGAGGGTGATTTGGAGGATTCTGATCCTTGCGAATCAATTTGCAGTGGGGAAGAAAGATGGCCTAGTAGACCGTATATCAGTGAAGACGATAAGGCCCTGGCTACAATGAACAAGGTTTTCACAAAGGCAAAGAGAGTCACAAAGACATCAACACCGATTCACAGAAATAAGAGCATAATAAAGAAAAAGAAGTTCTCCTTGTATGCAGTTGTGTCCTCAATACTCAACTCCCTTATTATGTTGTTGCAAAACCCTTTATCTTCCCGCCTGCGCACCCATTCTCTCGTTTTTCCTCTTTTGGCAGGCCCTTCATCTTCATTAGTAAGCTCCATGATAGCTATGATGGCAGCTATTTTACGTTTGCTGACACCATGGTCCCCAGCTGTAGCCATTTTCCTTGTATGTTGTAAATAACTTTTATTTTGATTTGAAAGCTGAGTTCCAGACTAAGTTCAAAGCCTCAACCGCGCTCGCAATTCGGAATGTTGAGTCAAATGTTGAATGAAAAGTTCAGTCGTTTGGCCACCCCGAACTCAACAACGCTGAACAGCATTCAACATTGTTCAGCGAAATGTTGAGTGAAAAGTTGAGTCGTTTGGCCAGGGCTTTATACTGTTGGCTAAAACAGTTCAGGCATTAATCGTAGGGCGATGCATAATAGCGTAAAGAGTTTTATCACGCTGGATATGTCCCTTAAAAAAACTCCTGATGTTATGGTCCCTATATCAAAGCTTCAATTAAAGTTGTGTTTTCCAATTAACGTTTCAATAACACAACATATGCTTAACCCAATTATTAAAATGACACAAAAAGAAGATTATTCTCGTAGGACTCTTAGAAACCAGCATTTTTTTTATTGCTGTCATGACACATTTTATTTTTGCTGTCATACAGCCAACAAAACCACTGAAAATCCTTCTGCAATGCCCCCATTTTCATATTAAACTTGTCACCAATAATGATGTGTCATTGATGAAAAGCATTGAAATCATCCTTCTTAAATCATTCTGCGATTGGTTGATTATTGTGAAAGATAGACTAATTATAAAAGCGATCAAATCAAAGGCTAACGTGCAATTATAATGACAGTTTGCTTGCTAAAATCCTTTCAAAACACCGATAAAGATTCAGAACAACAAGGTATATAAACATAAAATCTCAAATAGGTGCTCTTCTTAGATCTTCAATTTCTCGAATAGAAAATATGCTTAAGTACAAAATTTAAAATTCGGTGTGTGACTTTTACTGGCTAAGGACACGTCTATGACAATTAAAAACACAATAAAGTGACATCTACATGTGCATCTACCAGTCTACCTTGGTTAAAATGTGAATTCATCATCCAGGTTGTTTACAATCTGAAGATTGACACCAATCCTTGAAAATAAAAAGTGTTTTTAAGCCGTATATATATAGTATTTGAATCATTGTAGCTTTAGCTAATTTCTCGAGGTATTTATGAGCCCGCACCAAAATTGTCTAAGCTGCAAACAAGAACACGAAGGTTTCATACTAGGGTTGCGGGAAATTTGGCTGCTGTAGACTGTGATGCTTTTAAAAAAAACCTTTCCTCCTTCCTATGTGTAAGCCATCATGTTTTTGGTGCCATTATTCTTGATAAAAATTCTTGGATAAAAATATGCCAGAGCCTTGTTTAAGAATAGTTTTTTGATACTGGAAGCTTCGAAAAATAACAAATTTTCGGACTTATTCCGAGAATTTTTGAAAAAAAGATTTCGACAAACAGTCTCTGCAAGATTCCAAAATATATGTCACACCTATTTGTGAGCTTATATTACTTAATCATTGGCAATGAAACCAACTAAAAAGAAATAAAGGAAAATTGAAAAAGGGAGAAAACAAGGCGAAGTGAGAAAAACTGCGGATTCAGAGCATAAATTTAAAGCAGATCTCAACAGTTCGGTAAAAAGTGAAACATGTAGAAAGTTCAGCATTTATACGTGTCGTAGGAACTGCATCAATTTGCCCGCATGGAGAAAAAAGAAAACGATATTTTAAGGCAACTGTTATGAAACACCGATAATGCTTAAAGTGCTTTAAGGGATTTGAGAGATTTCAAGAAAACTGCATCGGTTCTAATCTAAATTTTTCAGGAAGCTTGCACGTTTCTTTATATTGTCCCATTTCCTAAGATTTAAAACTTTCGAACAATCAACCAGATTTTGGACAATAAAAGTTTAATCAAAAGGTGAAATATCATCCGAAAGTTTTTGTTTCTAACGTATCCCGAGTTTTTAGCGTAAAGCTCAGGTGGTAGATGAATTAATAAAAAATAAATAAAATCTAGAAAAAAATAACTGCATAGCTACCCTTGGAAATCCTTTGTGATTTCATCAACCTTCGAGGGATGACAGCAGAGAGCAGAGCAAGAGAACTCAGGATCAAATAGTTTTGTGAAATACTTCTTCCCACATCTAGTTACGTCATCAATTGTTACTTTGGACACTTTCTGAAGAAGGTCTCTTTAAAAAACAAATATATAAAAATACATGCAGCTATTTGAAATAGTAGATATAAAAACATTTAGTAATAAGAAAACCTCTCTATATGATCTCAAAGCTAAAACCAAAGACAAAGATGCGATACTTTAAAGTCGAGACACTTTATTCATATAGAATTAACTGGACGAAAACGCGTTTCAATATTCATCTTTATTATTCTAAAAGTAGTAAATTTCATTTTCGCATGCTCTTTGTTCAGATCCCTTTCCATCGCCATCAAGAAATCAAAATCAATATTTGATTTGGAGACGCCATGTTACCGTCACTACCGAAAAATAACAGCGAAAGAGCAGCTTCACATAAACCGTTGAAACTCCTGTCGAAAAAGCGCCTATAACACACAGCATAAAATCACTCAAAATCACAGTTCATAAATTTAAGAGGGGTAGAAATTCATTCCTCGATGTTTTGATTACAGTTTACTTGATTTAAGGAATTCATAGACTTTTATACGCCAAATGGCGCTTTCCCATCGAATTCCTAAATTCAATGCATTTAAAACAAAGTTCCCGCATTCATTAAACCTCATGATATCATTAAAATTTATCATTTCTTTTAACAAAGATTTCAAAATAAACGGATTAACAGAGATTTTACACACGCGACTTGAAATTATTCCACTGGCTAAAACAGCTACATTACCGCCTACCAACGATAGAGAATCAAACAACATTGACTGCATACTGGGTCAAAAGGATCATTATATCTATCTCGATCATCTAGAATCAACGAACCCACCCAGCTATTCTCGCAATCTGTATTCGGCATGAAACATTTTGCAGGAGAACGACACGTGCTCACGTTCACAATCACTGTGAATTACAGCGACAATTAAATGAGAAAGATTCGGCTTATCCAGCTATATATAAGCCAAAGGTTTTCTACTTCTCCAAAAATTATCAAACCACATCCAGATGATATCTGATTTTGGTTTGTTTTTTGGTAAAGGAGAGTTCATTTAATCCCTATGCGCCTAAAAGCCCTACAGGGGAAAATATGTTGGAGATGAGGTAGGGATTTTAAAGAAACTGAACTGACTCATTTTGGGTTCAAATATTTAACACGTATTAAAATACTAAAATTTAGGAAATTACTCCGAAATAATAAAAATTGTCATGGAAAAAGTGAGATAGCTGTTTGGAAAACGTCTTTGATTAAGGAGTTTTTTCTTTGAAGAAACCCTCGGTACAAGGGGGCCAGGAGAGTTTACATCTTGGAACAATGAGCCTTAGCATATTCATGAGACACTCTGTTTTCATGGCACATGAATCCTTTGAGTTACAAATCAAATTTTCATCGATTTTATAGGTTCATCAATGTCTGCTGCTGTGATAAGCAACCAGGTAACCTACTGGCAATATTGCGGACAATGAAGGGGATTGATATGACACCAATCGATGTTCTTGTTCTGGTCAATTGAAATTAATTCTCTTTTTTTAAAATCAACCAAATCAGCATTGCTCTCCCAGTATTAACCAAGCTATTAACAAGGATTTTGTCGCCGCTTTTTTTTGCAACCTCTGTTCTGTGTCAATTACAGAATTTTTAGTACATTTCAAGCTTAGTACAACGAAAAAAGCTTGTTCTTCTTAGCCATGAAGACTCATATTCACTTAAATGTATAATCATTATGAAATTAATACGTAATCCTTCTAGCAGCCGTTTCATAATGAATTCAGATGCACACGCATTGTACACAGACGAGAATCAGCTTGCCTTTGACGAAACATACCTTAATACTCTATAAATCTCACCTTATTTTAATGTACGAATGTCCAAAGTGAAAAAAATTAGGTGATCAGATGATTAATTGCATCAACACAAAGGTAACATTGCTAAGAAAATTAATTCTATAATGGAATCGTTAGCGTATTGACAGCCAACTTACTTGCTAAACTGCTGTCCAACTCCTTTGAAAGTTGACATCATGCTCTGTTAACGAGACACAGTTTAAAGTTTGCATTTCACGATATAATAGCTCTTAGCTGGCAAGGCAGTTTAAGGACAGCTTATCATCAAACACAAGAGAAGAATCCAAAAAGAGCTGGGTTTAGGTCATTGGTTACATAACACACCCTAACTACATAGGAAGGGCGAGTTTATCTGTTCTCTTTGACTTTCAAAACCTTTAAAGTCTACACCACTATAATGAGCATGGCCGGGAAACACTCAATCAAATTAAGTTTCGTATTTAAACTTCAATCTCAACAAAACGGCTTTTGTATGAAATTCATTATCTATCTATATTTTAGCTACTGGAAGTATAAAGTTTTTACAAAACGGCCACCAAAGTGATGGAATTTAACTGAACTACGGCCAGGCAGATCTGGACATAAGAGCAAAAACAGCCAAGCGAAAGTTTTGTTTCTGGAAAAACCAGAATAAAACGAACAAAAAATTTAAACGCACTGATTCGAGGCAGACTGGGTATTAGCAAAGGAAAATTGAACCGGGACTTTTTAACAACGCTTTGTTAGGGACGAAAGCAAATGAGTAGGGGTCTTAAAATTTGGCTAAAGTGGAAGGACCGAAGCTTTAAATGCTGCAACCACAGCCTTGTCATTAAAAATGACAGCTCACTGTCTGTCGAGCGTATCACACGAACAAATCAATCTGCAAAATAAGACCATAAAAGGCAACCATAAACACCTCAAACGCTGCATCCCCAACGGTCTGTTCCTTTTCAATAGTTTGGAATATTATACCACTGACGGCGGCTTCTAATTGATCTTCCTCAAAGGGCGTTTCCCCAGAAGTAAAGTCGTTCTGTAATACGAAATAAAAAGTACAATTATGAAGAGGTATTTCTTTTCAAAGCTAGCCAGAACCTTTTCCTGTTTGATCTGTCAAATAGGCTATGCAGAAGGGTCGAACCAAGAAAAAATATTCTTCAATTCTTATAGTCACTAACACTGATCTGTCACTAAATGATACTAATATGACTATCAACAGCCAGACGTTCAGCAGAATCCATTTACAACAGTTTAAAGTTGATTTCACGTAATGAATAAACACAATTCTGACATTCTCCTAGAAGCGAAATAATTCGAAGAAATTTCTTCAAGTCAATATATCACGGGGAGGGGGGGGGGCGTGTTCTTGTTTATAAATGAAGTAAACTGCGAGCACATTTCATTTGAAAATAGTTTAAATGGTATGTTGCTATGATTTTTTCTAAAAAACATGCTTGTGGGTATTTGTTTCGGTATTAGCTCTCAGATAAGTATATAGTGTCTTTTTGTTGTCCTGGAAACTGTACATGCAAATTCATCAGTCATAGTAACATACGCAAGATCTTTCTTTACAAAAAGGAAGCTTGGTTCGACAAAAAACGGACGTAAAATATAAGAGTTTCCTTTTGACATTCTGAAACCTGTACTTCATAAGTGCTATCGCTTGTATTAAGACTATCTGAAAACTAAATATGACTACAAAAAACCAGGGTATATGAAGATGAATAACCATATAGAGAGGAGTACTGGCAATGACCACGACAGAGTCAAAAATGAGAAAAGCCAGTTCATTTCCAATGCTTACACAATCAAGAATGAATTTCGATTGAATCTTTAAATATCCTTATAGCCAAACCCAGGTCTCTTATAGAAGATAATCATCAGAAATCTTCAGCTTTTTTGTTGGTATCGAAATTCCGCCCATGCTATCAACTATTCTAATTTTCTTTCATGAAATTTAGAAACTCTTCAACCGTCGATCAAACTCACAATTATCTGTTTCCCCTTTTGAAATGCTGAGAATATGTGAGTAGATTTCATGAGGACAAAAGTCAGCTTGCCAGAGAGTGGGTCCACAGATATACTGTAATGGTAAGCTAGACCCAGGCCTCTAATCTGTCTCCACAGCGGGCCCTACGAGATGAAAAATAACAAATTCAGACGTACAAGAGACTATTTATATGTTTTCATATCGTTGGAAACCATGACCTCACCATGGTGTGCAGTAAATAAATATAAAGTGAGAAATGGTGGAAGCTCTTTCAGGAGGCACAACATTGAAAAGAAAAAATTCACATTCTTACAGCTAAAATTTGTTACAAAACTTCAAATACGTAGTTCTATAAAGACAAACAAGATCAATAACAGTGGAAAATTAAATTTCAATGAATCAAATTTTTGCAGAACGAAATTTCAAATGTTAAATGAGACCATAAAATTGATAAGTTAATGAAAGGCGCGAAGCTTTTGTCTAGCAGGAAGCACAAACACAAGAGCCTTAAATTCACACAAAATTCCTTATGCCATAAAACGAGATGTGAGCTACATCTTTGAGTATGGATCAAAAATAATAAAATTATATCAAATATTTGTATTGCAGAAAAAGCCGATTGAAACTATCAAGTATGTTTGAGAGTAATGATGATCGCTTGGCTGTGAAATGGCTTGGAAAGCTAGCCACTGTTTTGGAAAAATTAAGAATTTAATCCATGGAAATGCCTGATTAAAAGAAACACACGTAATGGATTAAAGCCTCGTCAATTGAGTAAACCTTTAGAGAAAAATTGGTAGAAGAATATATCATTATCAAGCAGGAATCGCAGAAATTAAATTTAATGACATCAATATGGTAGAATTTCTCTAAAATTGTGGTTTTTGAACAGAAGACGTATTTTAAATTAAAAAGATACTTTAAATACGTCATATCAAGCACCATCACCAACGTGAATTCCCTAATTCAAAAAAGACAATATAAGCGCACATTATGTTGTCCATTAAAAAACCTGCTAGCCAACTCAGATTCCAATTTGTGTATCGGCTTGAATAGGAGAAATGTTTTGTTGTTGTAGCATGTCTGCTTATCATTGAATGGTTAAAAAGGTTTTATAAATCATGAATTAATAGAGAAGATTGGATCGAACGTATCGAAAGGATATTTCACAGAGTTGAGAGTAATTAAAAACGTAATAGCCAAAGCCGTTTGAGAAAAGTTAACACAAAAAGTTCATATCAGCGCTTTATAAAATGTGTTTTAGGTGTCTGCAGTTATTCGTTTTAAATCATTCATTTCAGTAAATACAATTTATTCTTTGAATATCATTTTATATATTGGTAGAAATAAAGTTAAGGTAAGAAGTTCAAGAGAGCAGTGGTTTTGTATTTTTGCAACAAAATACGTCCTAAAAAAATTAAGACAGTGGAAATAAAGACTATTTACCTCTAAAGCACAAAGGTACTCTACCAGCACAAGCAATGGTGCATAATCGTCATCAGCGAAATTTGAAATGCATGGTGTAGTTTGGTAAAAAAAGGAGGACTCAACTGCCCCAATGCCAATTATCTTTGAAACAAATTTATTAGAGACTAGTTTGTTATCTGGCGTGACCGGAGAATTCCTGTAAAAAACACAACGATGCTTCAAGTGTTTATAAGACTACAGATTAAGGAGGCCAAATGCAATAATGCTCAGCCCCCTTGAACTATCGACATCAGCCGCTCAATGCCAAAAAAGTTTCAAATATATTCCGCTCGAAAATATATCTTGCTTTATAGTAATATACCAAACATGCTAATATGTATGTTTTTATACCACAAAACACACAGCAACCTTAGCTCTATGAAAATTTGATGGGAGCACACGATTCAAGATTGCCCCTCCATATTGATCTGTTTTTCAATTGCCTTTACAACAGTGGAAATTCCATTGATTAAATTTATAATGACTTCTAAACACCAACAACACTAAAAGCAAGTTTCCCTTGCACCCCTACATACGTCACTTCCAATTAATCTAAATACAGCAAAAGGTTGGGTATGAGTACAGCTTGTTTTAGAATGATCTATCATTCAATTATAGCTGTTAAAATTTTCTCGTAAAATTTGATTACCCCTTTGATGTTTGCGCTCTGATTTCCTCGGGCAAAAACTTTTCGCTAATCACTGCATGAGCATCTGTTTGCAATTTCTGACCATCTACAGCCATGAAAAACTGAATTGATCCCGGATTGGTGATTAACTCGCGCAGTTTTTCTAGATCATTGATCACCTTCGATTCAATAGAAAAAGCTGACAGAATAACACTAATATACTTTTGGCGTTCATAAAATTCAGAAAGAAGTATTAGTAGTTCAATAAATGGAACTAGAAAAGACACTAGGCAGAGCCCCCTGAAAAGTGGGTACATCGAACTGAAAAGTTCGTTTTATCAGGTTTAAGTGTAGCATCTTTACTCGTAAATTCTACAACATCAAAAAGAAAAAAAGTATCTCTATCCAATATTAAAAGAAATCGTGTGCGTTTTAATCGAGGCAAAAACAAGGTGATTATTGTGCTTGAAAAAGCCAGTCTCTGTTCAAACAGACAAAATTAGTGCTTGATATTTGCCAAACTGGACAGAAAGTAGTTGATAATATGGGTGTGTAGGCTAGAGAAAGATCAACATATTGAAAACTGGCTGGCCCTACCTATTTGTGTAGTTTTCACTAAAATTTACACTAATTCCAACTACTCTAAGTTAGGTGGCTCCGTAAGTAAACAGGATAATTCCAAAGTACTGCACATTTGTCTGTAATTTCGTTCGAGCTAGTCAAAATAAGGCAAGAGAGGATTACTTACAAAATTGACTTAAGGAAACAAGATTGACGCATTACCAAGGATTTCGTGTCCGAGAAAAAGAGCGTAACCACAACTTGTGTACCGTCAATCCTCAAATTAGCCCCCTGGGTGCTTATTTATTTTTCATATTTTGGATGGGGGCTTATTCGAGGGAGGCTTGTACGAGGGGGGCTTATAAAATTATTGTAGACATTAGGAAGACATTATTAAAAGATCTCGTTTATTTTACTAGGAATTTCTTTATGAGCATTTAATTAATTCTTACCAAAAGTAAGAAATTGTTGCAATTCAATAAAACGTCATAGGCAACCTCAGATGGCAAAAATCATCAAATGGAGAGGTCAATTCGAGAATTTACAGTAGCAGTGGGGGCTTATTCGAGGGAGGGGGCTTATTGACAATTTGTAGTTCTAGGGTGGGGGCTTATTCGATGGGGGGGGCTTTTTCGAGGGGGCCAATTCGAGGGTTTACAGTACTTTAAGAACTCATAGCCACAAAAATCATCGATCTCTGAGTTTACTTACAACTCAGCCATACCCAGTAACGAAGTAGGGTTTAGATGAAATTCGCTCTGTCCTAATGTTAATAACTCAAAAATAAACAGCACTTCACAAAGTAGCACTGGCATGTCATTGAGAAAATAACAAGATACTCCTTGCAGAATGAAATTCCCATTTAAAAAACTCGTACCTGTTGCGGGTTGGTTGTGAGCTTCTCCGTCATTTGAGAAAGAAACTTCTGTTGCCTTACCATATTACTGATAAAATAGTTGCTTTCTGAAAAAAGAAAACATTCAAAAATTGGGTCAAAATTGTAATTACCAATTAGAACAAATAGCTTGATTATAAACAATGTTTGACCACAAACCATAGTTATTAAAAACGTCAATTAAAAACGTCATAGTTATTAAAAGTCGCCAGCAAACAAAATTTGTTCCAATCAAAGTTGTTAAATTTTACTAATGCACAGCATAGAAGCCAACTGCGGAAAAGTTTTCTCCGACAAATACCAAATGTTTTTCTCTGTTTTCACAATATCACGCAGCTGTGTAATTCAATTTTAATTAAGGGAAAACCAAGCAACAAATTTAATAGACAAATACCAGAAAAATCGGAAACATTTTCCAGTCAAAGTTCTGAAGACGGTCTAGGGTCGCTAGAAATTGTAGAATCAATTTGTTTCTTGGGGACTTTTGAATTTCTTCCTTATTTCCAAAATGGCGGAACAGTTGAAAAATGGCGGATTTTTAACAAAAACGTAGGCATTAAATTAGGCTTGAGCTCGTATCAAATGCAATTTTTAGATGTTTTCAAGTAGATACCTATTTACTTTTTGTAAATAAACTATAAAAATGGGTCTATTAACCATTATCTTTCATAATGGTGGCACTAATTCAAAATGGCGGATTAGCTTGCTTGCACTGATCAAATTTTACCTAAAATCTGTGAATGAAGTATTTGAATACGAATATTTTATGATGTGCTTTGGGTCACAATGCCAGATAAAATTCATAAAGGTGTATTTGAAATGAATGAGGCATTCTCCCGGCAAGATGTATTCTAATCAACGATATGGTCCTTCTGCCAACAAACCTTTTGTGATTTTTACACAAAGCGTTATGATGTTCACTATTAGTGTAGCCTGTGCTCCTAAGGGTCTGGCGCACAGGCTACTATTAGTGAAAATTCCCAAACATCTCTTGCATTGCTTTGTACAATGAAAAGGGAGGAAAAAGTCTCATGCAACAAGCAAATGCTGAATTGCCACATTTAAAATATTTGCTCCAGCTTTGTGCACATAATACATTATAGATTCTTAATTATCATAATGAAAAAAGACAGCATCCTTAGACCCACGTCAGTTCATCAGTTTTTAATGTTTAATTGTAAAGCCTCGAAAAATAAATAGAGATATCAAATTCTTATGCAGACAGCTCTAAACCCTCCATAAGGACACCTCCAAACGGATCCCGGAGAACTAGTATTGTGTGTCAACAGTGCTTTCATCTCTCGTTTTTCTAGATCACTGAAAACAAACACATCCGACGTGCCTTTAAAATTTTCATCATTTTTATCATCGTAATGCTTCGATTAAACACCCGGGGCGTTTATCAAATTTTTTTATATTTTAAGGGGACATATATTAAAAGAGGGTGGCGCTTATTGAATTTGTTCACTCTTCCTAGGCAATATGTTTAAAAAAACATCTAATGATGATCGTACTTAGCGTGAAACTCTGAGTAACAACTAAATACGTCTGGTTCCAGAGGTAATAAACGCTACTCGGAAGTTATAGAGAAGTAAATTTCGCTATTGTTTCACAAAATAAAGCTAAAGAAGCATGGTAGTATATTGTTAATTACTGTTCTATGTGTTTCGAATACGTTTGATATTTTCTCAATAAATTTTTTCGTTCGAATAAATTTTTTGAAATTTTAAGGGGGCATTTATTCGAGGAGGCGTCTGTTCGAGGAGGCGTTTATTGAAAAAAATTTAGGGGGCTTTTATTCGAGGGGTTGTTTTAAAGAAGGGGGCGTTTAATCTAAGTTTAATGGTATTATAATTTTGTTAGCGTCAGCAAAATGGTAGGTAGTGTAAGCGCTGTCTTTAGGAAGATAACCAAAATGAACTTATCGTTCAGTCGGCTAGAAGCGGGTAATTAATAAGTAACGCCTTTTTGAATTTCGAGGAAACTCGATAAGCTGACCCAATACCCTGTTTACAAAACAGTTCAGCCAAAATTCTAGTTTCTTCGGCGCCTAGTTGTGCAACTTGGACTTTCTCAACCTCTGAATGCCAAAGCAAGGTAATGATAATAAGGTTCACGATATCGTGAATAACTAATGTTTCGAAGAAACATTTAGAAGAAACCAACTGAATGTTGTAGAGCGAACAATGATAGTAGGAGAGTAAACATCTAAGATGGAAAGTGGGAGGGGAGGGGAAGGGGTTGAATGGTTGCCACACAGTAATTAGCCAAAATGAAACAATTGATCAAGCTTCTAATTATGGTTGGTGTTCACACAGTTTCAACTTAAAATTAATCCAACCTGATTTGGAAGTTGAAAATAGAAACTTTATTTATATTCATAAACAGAACGTCATAGTGAAACAAAAGTTTCAAATTACGTACCCTATAAGACTTCAAAATAACCAGCAAAAACTATTGTATTCATGGCGTCATAAATTGGCGGATATAAAATTTTCAAGATCACGAAGTTTAAAAGCTGCCGGTCTAAATCTAAACTACTTTACATCGACAAGGGGCATAGACAATCTCCTTGCCAATTTCTATAAGGTTTAATTCAAATGGATATTTTTGCAAATTAAGAGAAAACCACTCAAAAAATCCGCGCAATTAACCGCGTCCTTTTACTGAGGTACAAAGAATGGATGAATCTAAATTAGCGAAAAATATGAAAATATGGTGGAAAAAAATTTTCACCAAACAATAATAAAAATTGTGCAGTCCACCAAAATCAAAGGAACACTTGTTATTGCATCCTTCGTTAGTATCAGGGATTAGCAGATTACTAAATATGCGTGATTAAAACTATTCAAGGCAGATGGCTTGGGGAATGGGTCGGTCTCTACAAGGTGTCACCATTAATCTTCAAGTTTTAGTTGTAGTAACAGCAGAAATTTGAAGCGCGAAGTGGCATTTGAAAACGTTAATGTGAGTAATCTCTAATTTGTAGATTTAATAACCTTACCATTTTTTATTGATGAAAAAACGTTTTCTGAAAATGGGTGAATTGCCAAGAAAACAGCAAGCTGAGCTGACTGTTTTACTCGATTTTAAAAACTAATCATTGAATTGGGCAGTCTTTGATGCTAATCAACTATAAGGTAGGCAGTACACGCAGATTGTTAGCGCTTTTATCTCCGAAATTACTTCACGTCCTCACAAATATAGTTTATGATTGGTGACACAGTAACTCAAGACAATATACTTAAAAGAATAACTCAAGGTCTCCATTAAGCAAATAAGCAAATTGGAAGTTTAACAGAGACATCTGTCGCTGCAGACCAAGAAATGAAGATAAACTAAACAATAAGCTTCTTGGAGTTCGTTCGATTTATCTACAACATGAGTTATCTTTCCTTTTTTACTGGCAACTATAATTGAAAATTTTAATTATCTCAAGCCTGTTGCTATATATGCTCTCATTCAAAACCTTTGAATAAAATACGGCCCTATAATTGGAAAAAAACTATATTTAGCTTCGTAGATTATGAATAAACGACAATCATGATAACATGGAACATTTTCTAAGCAATTTAATTTCTCGCTATAAAAATGTGAAGTTCGAACGCACTACCGAACTTCTGCCTACATGGTTTTGTTCTTAACTTGAGAACCGAACAGGGAAATTTCATTCAGCGGTTCTGTGGGTACTATCGAGGGAGTAGGGTACCACATAGATGCTGGCTAGGTCCCTTTCTATTGATATTGTATGCCAACGGCTATGAAAGGATGGCTCATTGGTTAGGGTCGATGACTACAAATCCCGGGGTCTGGACATGACAAAAATTTTATTCGGAGTTAGGAAAGTCGCCAGCTCTCCAATTTCCAGGCGTAGGAATCACGAGGTGTTGTCACATCGAGAGGAAGGACCAGGACACTGCTCGATAAGCAGAGCTTCTCAAAGTCGAAAACTGCCCTAGAATGCTAGGTAGCAAAACAATAGCATAGCGTATCATACAATAGCAACAGCATAGCATCTGAAAGAATGCTCTGAAGAAATCCAAAGGAAATGAGTATGCTGATGACGAAAATTCTACTTATGACTTCTCACAATAAAGTCCTCATTAAACACGAGCTGAAATGCATTGGAACTTTTCGCCAGGCAACAGTAGTCTTTAAAGAATGCAGTAGTCATTGCGACTGGCAGAAACTTGAGAAGGTAGCAAGCGAATATATAAATTTGTATCATCTTTTGAAATGCTGAAATTATTACACTAAAGCATGACTCGCATCAATGTTTGAGAAACTTTAGCCATCAATAGAAAGAACAATTGATTACGAAATGGATCAAACAACGGCTTAGAAAGCTATAAGTCCCATTTCGTCTCCAAAACAAAGATAATCTTTTTTGCGCGGGTTTCCAAAGTGCCATCCGAAGAATGAACAAACTCTTGAAACGGATTAAGTGATTATTGTTAGGAAACTTGCAACTGGTCAAAAATCAAATTGGAAGGAGAGGAGACAGGAATGAGTTGGCTGGCGTAGCTCCATCATTGCAAGCCTTCAAGTCTAAACCAGGGCGCCCAGAAGCGATAAAATGAATTTTAGGAAATTATCATGTTAGTAACTTTGTGGATTATAAAGTACCATTTGCAAAATATTTTAGATTCTTATTTCAAACCAAAGCTGAAATCGATGATAAAAATTATTCTGTACATTGCTCAGATGTTTAGTGAAAAAGAGGCATCATGATTAATGCTCAAAGGCCTCTTAGCACTTGTGATGGATTTTTAAACTCTTAGAAATTATAAAATGGTATATAAAATTTAATTATTCAACTGCAAACCGGTTTGTAAACTGATGGCATCGGAAAATTTTGACTCTGAGATAATATTTTGAATCACCAAAGGCAAAATAATAACATTCTGACTCGTATAGACTATAGCTAATCAACTAATGACTGATTCAAACGATAACAGACAAAGGTATGACAGCAAAATGATGTTAGTAGGAAAAGATGACTGGTTGTCACTTATACATCACAAACAATTTTGAAAATTGCCTTCTTCGGGCAATGCATTTCTTTGAG